CTACACGACGCTCTTCCGATCTCCCCAAAACCCCAAAACCCCAAGCATGAAATAATCAGCCAAGAATTAAAGATAGAATTGAATATATTTCAAACATGAATTTTTCTAAGGACATCTATTAAATCAAGGTCAATTTCATATTTTACTAAATTTACGCCCTCATCATCTGTGACAAAGGTAAATTAACTTTAAACTTGATTAGATCCATTTAAAAACAAAAGCCTTTATTGTGAACAGTCACTAGAAATAAATCCGCTTATTGGAGCTAGTTTATAAATATTTCCGTTCTCAGAATCTACTATACAAACATGTTCTGATTCTTTTGAAAGCAGGATTGGAAACTTTTCATTATGATAGGTTGGGAATTTTATCAATGCAATTCCTCTGGAGCTATATCCTTGCCCCATGACAGTTTCTAGAAATCTGAAAAAGTCTATCTTATAGTATTTGCAATCTTTAGATGAAACACAAACAAGGACATTTGGTTTTGTCTCAACAATGCTTGATATGCTCTTATCTTTTAGAAAGTGGTATTGAAGTCTTTGAATCTCAAAAACAACTTATTCATTACTGGAGAAATACTTATTCTTTTATTACTTAGTCTTGACTTCAATCTTGATTAAAGTTATTCCATAATCTTAACATCCAACAGCATAAATACCTTCTTAATTCATTGCTGCAATGCATAAAACATCTAGCCCTGGAAATACCTGTTTCGATCCTTTCTCATTTATCCCACCTAAAACAGACACTTCGTATACTGCTATCCAACCATATCTCATTCCCAGAATAAAATGTGAGTCCTCAGAGTTATTTAATTTACAAATACCTCCATATGACCTTTCTATTGTCCTGCTCTAAAATTTACGCAAAAATGAATCATTAACATCAAAAGCAAATAATGTCTTATCTTAATGACCACAATGGCACACTAGCAGATTTTTTATCTAAATCATACTCATAATTTCATCAGCTTAAACAGAAAGTACACTCTTTCTTTGGAAATCTTAATCAAGAACTGCAGCGTTATTGTTCCAAGCTTAAACAATGGTATCACATGTAGTTGGAGACTAATAAATAGAACCTATTTCCTTAAAAGACATTTGGACTTTTTCACCTGTCTTTTTGTATAACTCTTCGCTAACTTAGTTATTATTAAGCTATACTAGGATATCATTCATCCTATTGCGTCTTTGTTCATCAAGGATCTGCTTCTTTTCTAGTTCGCCACTAATCTCAAACATTATGCTTGTTCTTATTCGTGACTCTAAGTTATCCATTTTAAAGCTTAATTCGGAGGTGAATTGTTAAGTTGATGCCTCTTGAAAATGCATAAACTAACTTATTTTCGAATCTAAATGATTTGTCTATCTCTCAGTGAATTCCTTAATAGACTTGAATTCAGAAGATATTGAAGCATAATCAAATAGAATCTTATTCTGTTGTTATATTTTTCTCAAAAGATATTCATTAATCATTTTCTAGCTACCCTCATCTAAAATAAGTTTCATCTCCTCATCTTCATTAACGGTTTGCTTTATTGTGGCCATAGCAACTGTATTAGCCGTCAAATCTCTTATTTGCATCGAGCTCTGATTAAGCAATTCTTGATATTCTTGAAATTTAACATTTTAAACATGCATCAAATCAGCTCTTGTTTACAGATATACCTCTTAAACTTGCTAATTTGCCAGTGTAATTTTTTCAATTAAAAAGCTCATTCCAATTTGTAATTTCTAACCGCGTTAATCATGAGTATCATAGGATGATATTAGTTTTTCTACTTTGGTATAAAAATCTCCTAATTACCCCTTTTTAGTATCCAGTTCTTTACTAGTCTAGTTCATTTATTCAGTTAATTTTTACCATTTCTAACGCCATTAAGTGCAATACTCTTCAGCAATTACAACTTAATTAATGTCAATTTTATCTGAGTAAAGACAAAAATTGCAATACATCTTTTTCAGTTTCTCACTGAAAAAATCCATAGTCTTTTGTGGATGACGAGTGCAAACACTAACAGCATTTTTTTACTAATCATTTTAAATTTATTATGACTGCTAATAGCCTTAAGGAGGCTAATTCAAAGCATATTGTTATAAATTTGTAGTCATTTCAATAAATTATATGTTTTTAAGGTAAATTAATAAAATCAAAGACAAACATTAATCTTTGATATTTACCTTTGGGGTTTTGGGGTTTTGGGG